CCCCGATGGGAGGCTGAATCATTATTGGTCTCCCTTCCCTCATCCCAACCAGCTACATGTGAGGTTGCCTCCATGGAGAAAGCTAAGGCACTGTGAGACAAAGAAGAAATAACACATCACAACAGTTTGTCCTTGGATTATTGATCCATCAAGGCACATGCAGGTCCCATCCTTGTGCTGATGTAGGATTTGTTTATAATTGATGGAGGTATCTAAAATTGTAACCGTGTTTTAACCTTGGAAATATGCAACTTTTCAGTCGTACTTGACCGACGTGAGGACAAGAACTGTGACACAGGGAGATATGAATTGGCATTTAAGCAGGTAATTATTAATTTCCCAAATCAGCTTCACCTCCCATAACTATAAAACATGCTTAGGACTCAACTATACATTCTTATCATTATCCGCATAGAAGAGACAGAAAGTGCTTGTTTCTAAGTATATTAAAGGTGAAAGGTTTGGGTTAAATACAGATTGCACATTGTCCTAGATACACGTATTGTATTTACAGTTTGTACATAAGCAAACTTATATACCCAATTTGAAAAAACTCCCTGATGAAGGCTTTTATTTTCAGAGGAAACAGTTAGAAGATGAAAAGAAGTTTTTACTACTTCAGTTGGTGCAGTACTGCTCACTAGTTTACCATTTAACCCTTCAACTTGCATAAGTGACTTACGTATCACTTCTCCCTGTAATATCCTTACATTTTACAGAAAACAGGTAACGAGAATAGTCAAACTCAATTAGAAGTTGTTAGGTAGATCTAACACCAATTTCATATTTACATGGAAATGTGTAGCAGTTAGAGAGGACAATTAACACTCAGATCTTGGGAGTAAAAAGGTTAACAAGTATTCTTTACTGCCTAGACCTGTTTGCAGAAACCTTTCATCATTAATCTCTCTATTCTTACCTTGAAATCCAAAGAACTGCCCATAATTTTATATCCATTTGTCTTTCATCAGCCCCAAGTGTCAGCTCCTCCGTACATTGGCATGAACATGGTAGTAGAAGGACAGGGAATACGCAAGCCAACAGCAAATGTAAAGAAGCATGAGCTGACATCTCCCAGAGTTGTACCAATCTCCAAAACCAAGGATCTCTCTACAGAAACCAAGGCTGCAATTGTCTCCCGGCACAAACAGACGTCTCCAGAAGGCAATAATACTAAGATTTCAACTTTATCTCGCCCCAAAGAGGCACGAAATGTCATTGCAAATCTTTCAGGTGAGGCTTTGGAGACGTTGAACACCAAAAGTCAAGTTGAAACAAAAAGGAAACCTGAAGGTTCATGGGCAACTGGTTGCATGTGTGCTGCACAGGCCATTCCCATAGCAACAACCTTTTGCACAACAGATGAAGGGAAGTTTAAAGGACTCATTAAAAGAAGTAAATCTCGTTATTCAGCTGACGTTGACATTGCAACCGAGATGCAACCAAAAGTTCCAAGGGCAATGCAAATACCAAAGGCAGTTCTCAAGTACTCCAATGACAACAGTATGCGACAGAGAACACAGCTACCAATATCTATCGGCCCAGACAGTAATGGAAAACATTTCTAACCATTACTGTAAGTTTATCGCCTATTGGTGTTCCTGTCAGCCTAAATATGGGCAAAAAATACTGTGACAGAATTACCACAAATTTTGTGACCACATTGCCAAGAACTATGTGACAATTCTAGGAATCAATCGAGCAGAATCTAATTCAAGGTGAAAAAAAGTTGACTACTTCTAGATCTCCCATGGAAGGTCATTAAAAGCTGTATTTATAATTGAAATTTAGCTAGTAACTCCTTGAATTGCAAGCTTTATTTTTAACACAAAGAACTATACAGTCTAAATTTTCACTCTACAATCAAACAAATTTCTAAATATGTGGTTGAGGAAAGAGCAGGTACTAATAACCATGTTACATATCAAAGGTACATTTTTGCTAATTTAAGCCTGTAAGAGGATTGCTTTTACCATGGGCAAATTGCGGTATAAAGTTTCTCCCTTACACTACCCATTTATCAGTTTAATGAGCAGTTGCCTAGTAATAGAATCTAGCTTAGACAGAAATAAATTATTGCTTAGACTTATTAAGTTACTACACAAACATTGAGTCTAAAAGATTTTAAAAAATAGAAAATCAGAGGTGCTTTTAACAAAAAAAGTACCTTGTATCTTCTACAATGTATGGCACAAGTTATGAAATTACTGGCAGCTTTTCATTAAAGAGACATTAATTTTGCTCACTACTCACTGTTGGCCACAAGCTAACTAGAATTTTTTTTTACTTTTGCACCAATTATATAAAACCTACAATAGTATTCTCAGTTTAATTGTAGACTGATGCACTGAATATTTATCAACACAGAGTTGTATATATGAACAGAATGTTAAATATTTTTTAATAAAAAATGAACAGTCTTTTGTCAGAAATGAGACTAACATGTCTGCTAGGTTCAGAAACTTCACACTATTCAAGTCTCACGCTCTGGTCTCTCTCATTTTAAATATAATATGAATGAAATTTAGCATTTTATAAACCATTTTAAACAGATGGAAATTACTCACAAATGTAAGGCATTCCAAATGAAGTGGTACAAATACACTGTTACATACCGTAACATTAACTAGAAAAACTCAAAAACATGCCTCTATGTATCATTGTGATGAAATTGAGACAGTATTGTCAGCCACCTTTTTTAATTCATTCTGCATTTGGTGTATAACCAATGGTGAATAATACTTATTTGTTCGCTTCTGCACGTGCAAAAGTGATTGGTTACTAGTGAGACATTAGTTACGATATCAGCAGCAGTTTAACAGCAAAACCTGTTAACATCTCTTCCCCAGTAACCCCCTTAAACTCCTGTCAAAGTAGAAATGTTGTATTGTGGAGGCCTAGGTCTGTAGTGTCGCTTTTTCATGTACTCAATAAACTGATCTGGAAGTTCTTCAAGCACATCTTTGGCCAATCGTGCACCACTTATGACATTCCCAGCTTGTCCAATGTAGTCGCGAAAAGGGACAAACTAAGATTTGCAAAGAAACGTTATTTTAACAAGATAATAAAGCCAAATATAACTGGTTGGGAAGGGAGGGCCCTGGGTTCACTGACTAAGTAAATAGGGAGGTCTGCTTTGATTGACAGGGTTTGAGGCATGCTGATTGTTGGATGAATGTGGAATAGTTTGATTGGTTGATAGAGTTATGATTGGTGAGATGTCTTCAACTGTAATAGGTTGAGGAGGTTTTGGTTAAATCATGTTTTGTCATAAAGGAGAGAAGTTGATCTAGCAGTTCAGCTAAAACTCCTTTAGTGAGCAAATCTTGAGCTAATACTCCATGTGTTTGGAAATCTTGACATGGAACACTGAAAAAGAAGTGAAATGTAATTCGCAACAAAGGCGAACCATGATTTGAAATCTAAACTATGCTTTTAGAATGAGGGCTGAATATTAGCATAAATAAGTGTTAGTAAACAATTAAACCACGGATTTGAATTAAATTTGTAACAAAAGCGAGCCAAGATGTGAAATCTAGACTATGCTTTTAGAACAAGGGATGACTATTAGCAAAGATAATTTTAAGTAAACAATTAAACCATGGATTTTAACAAACTGTAATAATGGAATACAAGTTAGACTGAAGATACCAAGTTACTTAAATTTAAAGAAATTTGGTTGGGAGTTATATACTTTTTAATCCACTTAGACTTATATTATATATATGTTATGAAGTATATCAAAAAAGAGCTCTTAATATTAGAATTATCATAAATATTAACATTGAAGAAAATATCAAGGTATATCTGCTTCAGACGTATTTTAATGATATTCAAGAAATATGTGCAAGAGCAGTAATTCTAACACAACAAATTACACTTAAAAGAATTGAAGCAAGGTATCTGTTGTATTTGTTAGCAGTGAGATCTACATACCAGGGAGTTACATTATTACTATAAATCATGATATTCCAGATTGCAAATATTATTGTGTTTTGTAGATAAATTATATATAAATACTTATGGTGCATTATTAACCATGACAAGTTAATATTTATATTGATAGAAACTTCTGACTTTACTACCTAATTGGTTGGATACGGAGCCCCCTGATTAGCTGCATTAAGAATGCTGTGATTAGCTGGAAATGGAGGGGCGCTTGGATTCACTGGATATGGTGCACTCTGACTGGCTGGGTATGATGCATCTTGATTTGCCGAATGTGGTAGGATTGGAGTGATGTTGTCAACTGAAATTGGCAGAGGTGGCTTCGGCCTTATGGTATTTTTTGTCATGTAGGATAAGAGTTGGTCTGGCACCTCTGCCAACACCTCTTTTGAGAGCAAATCTGAAGCTAGTATGCCATGTGTTTGGAAATCTCGGAATGGGACAAACTGTGAAAACAAGGGGAATAAAATTTTTAAGGTGAAAGCACAAAACCTTTCCAAACCAATCACAGCTAAAAAAAATTTATTTTTGATCACTCAAAAGACCAATGTCTACATTTTCCCCAAGAAAAGAAGAATTTTTGAATGAAAGTTCCAAAAAAAAGTGATGAGTGCAGATATTGACTACGTGAAGAGAAGACAGAGAAATGAATAGGTGAACAGAATGAACAATCATCACTACAAAGCAAACAAACATATCAACCCATGGACTGACAGATCAGATAGATGAATTGAGAGAAATATTTGGATCAATGAGGAGATGGATGAAAAGGAAGGAGCCGAAGAAAAAAGGGTTGACTGAGGAGAGAGACAATGGCAGTGCTCAAATGCTACAGAATAAAAGCTCTGTGTACATCGTAGATGTTTACATTATTTAACCATAACACTTTACTATCAACCATTTAACTTCACAATTAAGAGTTTGCGATGGTCAATGTTTTGAAAGTGATCGGATCTCTGGCATGATGTTACCTAGTCCCATGGAGAAGAGTGAAAAAGCTCACCATTTGCTCAGGAAAGAAGTTAAACAACTAACTGCTTAAGGTATGTTATTAATAATTGAAACCACTTTGTTCAAGATAAACTTCAAGGTGGTGCAGCCTATAAAATCAAAAAATGGTAATACTTGATCTTCACTTTTTTAAATTTGTAAGAGGAGAGGAGTGCACAAAACAGAGTTTCTCCTTACAGAATTTCTCCTTATGGCCCAATACAATTTCAAGTAGAAGAGTGTTGAAAAAAAAGAAACATACCAATTAGAAGATATTTTCTGATCTACCTCTGACTTCTCAGAGCTAAATTTTCATTAATCAAAACTGCAGCAAAATTCTTGCATTGGCTTGGTTATCACCAGCCCAATTTAAGCATTAGAAGAGGCCAGTGAATGCATCATGCTTGTAATTGGACAATGAAATAGGAAAGTTGACATATCATGCCTATGTATGTAGACAGTAGCCTCATGCACACATGCTTTTGTCACGCATTTTGCCAAGTTAACTGGTTTTTCTTAACGAAAATGTATAACCAATTTCTAATTTCTTTCTCGAATTTTGATGTAGTTTTGATTAACTGGTAATGGGACTTTGTGTTGCGCAATTCTGTCTGTAATCACACTTAACAGATAAGACTCCCATTATGTCCATTTTTGTTTATCACTTGTATGATTACAAACTAAATTGAACTCCTTCAGTCCTATTACCACTATAAATAATATAGTAGGAAGTGTAGAGAATTGAAATTTAGATCTAGATCACAGGAGTGAGAGGTTTAACACAGTTCTTTGTCAGCATATATATGCTGTCCTTACCTGCACAATATCCCTCTCTGCAGTTCTCCCGCGTGATGAAAGACGGACTGTATCACCATCAAGCTCTTCCATGGCTGTAATGAGAAACAATGAAAGTATAGGATATGATAAATTAATTGTATACTTTCTCAATGAGTTTAAATTATCTAGTGGCCCATGATTTCCAAAATATAGAGCAATTTCTCTCAAGAAAGAACACATATCCCACACAAACAATGCAGCTGTACCACAGGAACTTAACCTAGTCTTCACAATATGAAGTGACTTGGAGTATTGTTACTCAGTTTCATGCTGCAAAGGCAGCATAGTTAAGGGGAGAGCGCATTTGGTACTCAATCCTGAGGTCTTGGGTTTAAGTCCTACTCTGACCACTGGGCCCAGGTTGTTCCAAGGGTGATAACACTATCCAATGGTTAAAAATTAGCCTGCAGTGCAAGCATCTTATTAGGGTGAACTAATGCTATAAGTGATCATTCATCAGGCTGACCATGTTTGTTTTGGAGTTGGAGTGGATGGCACCCCTCTCCTCATTTTTTGACTGTCAACCACCCCCTTGGAACAAATTTCTTTCTCTCCCCAGCCTTCTGCTGCCATTAAAATCAAAGATGGCCATTATATGTTTCATTAAGAAAATGCAGAGCACTCAATTGCCAAAATTATGCCAGCCTTGCAGGCTAGTTAAAAATCTCTACCCAGTGAATAGCACATCATGTTTCCTTCACACTTATAAGTATCAAATATCAAATCACCCATTAGTAGATGTGCATGTAAACTTGTAATTATGTACATACCATCAAATTCTGCTGCTCCAACACCCACAATAATAATGGAGATAGGAAGAGAAGCTGCCTGCAAGGAAAAATTTAATTTATAGCTTTAACTTGAGTCAAGTTCATCAGGCAGGGGTTGGTCACACTTGAACAATTTACCAGGATCATACCATAGCTGGTCAAATGCAAACCTTTTTTTTTCAACTTGAAAAAAAGAATGATTCAGATTTTTATCTCAGTTTGAAGAAACAGAAGTATTGTGTAAAAGATCTAATCTAAAATTCACAAATAAAGAATGCACATGATCTCTAGCAATTTTCTCAAAGTTGGTATTAGTAGCAAAAAAAGTATTTGACTGAGCCTGACAACTTTTTGGAACCCATTACAACTGGCTAATAATTGGGCATGTCCACTACATTTATCTTGTGCATCCACATAGAGAATGTATCAAATCGACAGTGGTTTAGTGTGGTCTGTACTCTTAACAGCATCGATATTTGTCATCATAGTAGTCAAAATGTTGTGGACTCATGAGACACAGTGAGTGAGTCCGTTACAAATTTTGAGCACTGTGATGACAAATGTTATTATCGATAAGAGTACAGAGCACACTAAACCACTGTTGATTTGTTTTTTATCCACGATATTGACGTAAAATATTTATTTCAGTGCATGATCAAGATCATATCAGGTTGACATGAGCAGTGTTGTCTGTACTCTTATCAAAAAATTGGCTAATTGTATTACAACACTGCCAAGAGCCATGAGGTAATATAAAGACAAATAATACACATGACTGGCTAACAATGCAAGCTGGTGGCAGGATTGTCAAGATACAGTTTAATTTGAAACAAACTTACATTTACAATGGCTTCTTTTGTCTGAGCCATGTCTGAAATAATTCCATCTGTCAACATCAGTAGCACAAAATATCTAGAAAGAAAATTAGATTTGTGAGCATGGAAATGTAATGTTTGAACACAGCCTTTTTGAGGTTACAGGAATTTTTTATAAGTTCTTACTCTTTCCCAGGACTCTCCCTTTGTGCTGCACTTGCTATTCTAGAAAAAATAGAAAACTAACATCATTTTAGTGTCTGCTAAATGTGAGAAATAATCAGAATTTAAGTAGTGCTTGCTTTATTCTGTGGTTAGTCTGTAATATAGAGAGAAAATGACAATAAACCTGGTCATCCACTTCATGGCTTTTATTAGGTGAATAGTACTTTTTGTGCAGAATAATTGGCTGGTTAGGAGTGATTAGCAAGTGCTATTCACCTCCACGCAGCCAAAGAGACAAAATATTGTGTCAGCAATTAGATTTCCAACCATTTTTGACATATTGACAGAAATAAATTAACACGTAAATGTTAACTATTACAATTTGGACAAAGATGAGGAAGTGTTTGAGAAAAAAAATTATTTCCAACTAACCTAGTGATTTGATTTATTATTGGTGCAAAGTTGGTAGGACCTAAAATGTAAAACACAAGGATATCATTACACTGTAAATCACTGAGTGTAAGATCAAGAGCAACAAGGTTAATAAAGACAAGAACAGATAACTTGTCTGTTTAGAAAAGCTTGTTTTTCCAAGTACATTTTTTCAACAAGAGTGCTGAGAGCTGCAACAGAATCTCAAGGAAGCACTGTAAGATCTAGAGCAACCAGTTTAATGATGACAAGAACAGAGGACCTATCAATTTTGAAGGCTTGTTTTGCAGGTACATTTTTTCAATGAGAAAGTACTGATAGATAAATAGATAGATAGTAGATCAAGGTTCTCCAAAAAAATTATGCTTTTCACTAGATGAGGTGATGTCTTCAGAAAGTTGTCAAATAGGAAGGGCAAAGAAAGATAAAAAAAAAACATCTACAATACACTTCTACAGGAGGTTACCATAGAGTTGCACTCGCTGTATACTGTGGTAGTAGGAAGCTAAAACTCCATCTATCCCTTCACACATTGGATTTTGGGGATTGCCATTCTAGAAAGAAATAATTATGCCAGTAATAAATGCTGTTTTTTCTTTCAAAACAGTAATAATGAAGCATTGATTAATAGAACTCTTAGTCAAATTTAAAACAAAGTTTCTTATCTCTTTACACCCTTACATCAGTACACACATTCTCTGCACTGTTCTTTGTACATTACCTAAAGTGCTGACAAGGAGAATTTGTTTTACAATCAAGAGCTTCCTTAGTTGGTGATTGTTTCATCTATTCTGGTGACCTTCATATGTGATTCACGGGTGATATTGTCACCCCTAGGGGTTAAAGGGTTCACCTGAGAGCAGGCCCTCATTCTAAGCCGTGCAGGATGCACAATTCCCCATTGGAAGGAATATTTAAGATGAGTCAGGGAGAGGTTTTCTGGGGATCTGGCACTAACAATTATCATTGCTAGACCATAGCAAACTTATCAACAGCTTGTGTTACTTAAGACCTCACACTTTCTCGTGGGTAAAGAAATGCTCATGCCCAAGCACTAAAACAAGGATGGTGTGGTCGCTGGCAGCACTCACCAGAGGAAACTCATGGGAAACTTGCCAGGTTGGAGGAAGGCGAGCTCCAAAACCAAAGGCAGGAAAGAGTTTATCTCTGGAAAAGAAATCAAGGCAAGTCAACTTAAAATCACCATCATCTCTAATATATAGATTTAGCCAAGCCTAAAGGCGGAGCTTGCATTTTTTTTTCATGCAAGTCTTCATACACGCACAACGCCTTGCCCTGGCCAAGACTAGAACCCAGGTCATCCAACTTGGAGCCCAGTGCATTGACCACTGGACTACTGGACAAAGCTGTGCCCTTGGTGTGCCTGCAGTACAGTTGACCAGCCATGTTAAAAGTAGCACCTTAAGCTGTTGTACAGTCATATGGTCATACAGTCGTACAGTTGTACATCCAATTGTATTGCTTGATGGGTTACTACTATTTTGTATAATTATGAGGCTACACTCTGCGTGCTCCACTATTATTGCACAGTAAAAAAAATTCTCCAAGTAAAAAGACAAAAAAAAGTTGCTTTGTCTGACTTCAGACAAACAACACTTACGTGTCATAGTCCTGGCAGATTCTACCAACAGCAGTCAGTGCCTTGACATACTGATTTTGTTCATAGGGGTTAATGTAGTGCAGGGAGTTGGCATTCCGTGGATCACCTTGATTCAAATAAATGAGTCATTTTTCATTTTGAATTAGAGTCAGCATATTGAAATCAAAGGCAATTATGAACTTGCAATCAAAATTGCATTCAATACAAGGTTAACCACAACCACAATTCTAACAACTATACCAAATGAAGTTGTTTATCAACAGTCATTAATCTTTGAGAAAGTTAGCCAAATGCAAGCAAGTACTGACATTGTGTTGTATCACACTAGAGCTACCACGTGCGCTAACTATTGCCATTGCAATTGCTATAGTGAGCAATCCTTAATCCATTAACTCCCAGAAGTGATTGACATGTAACTTCTCCCTATAATATCCACAAACAGGTAATGAGAATACTCTGACTTATCTGATAGAAGAATCTTGATTTAACACCAAATTCTTGTAGATAACTTACAAGGAAATGTGTAGCAGCCAGAGGGGAGAATTAACAACCAGATCTTAAGAGTTACAGGGTCAAGTGCTCATGATGATCACAGTATTACAATGATATGGCTACCTTACCATTTGATGCAGTGAAGTCAATGGCTACAGTGAAACTTATCTGAGTTCTGCAAAACAACAAGATCAGTGTCTGAAACAGCCTAGCTTACAACTTTTGAAAGAAAGACAGTTTCCCAAAGACAAGAATCACTGTCAACTGCAATTTTTCAAGCCATTTTTAGAACAGTTTCACTGTAAGTTCTGGACCATCTGCTATAGATGGTAAATTGCAAGCTCTGCACAAATTGTCAACCGCACTTGCGGCCTAGATGCTAAAACGATATCAGATATGCATCCCATAACTACATCAGGGTACAGCATATTAAGTAATAATAGGTTCTGTGCCCACTATAAAACTGAAATCTAGTTTATACTAGTCTGAGTGAAGCATGCATTAAATTATAATACTAATGGAAAGTTCTCCATTATATATTCAAATCATGGATCACGTTCGATGTCTAACTAATGACATGCAACTCACTGCCCAAATTATTTCATTATATACTTAGTAAACCCACATCCAAGTTTACAGTAGGTAGCTATTCTAAGGACCAATACTTAATTTGTTGGACCATTACAGAGCAGGTATATAGGACACAGCCCTTAACCTTGGAGAACTATTCAAAACAGAAAAGTTAGGACCACATGATGAATAGCAATGAGCAGATAATGAGATTCCATCACTCATTTAGAACTTGTGCTATGATTTATCAATTTAGCCCACCATATTTCGCTGTATGACCTGCTAAAAAATTAAAAAGTTTATATATTTGAATTGAAATATTCCTGCTCTATTGGAATCCAGAGATATTATAAACATCTTGCTATAACCTTTAGCTTGTTTTCTCAGTATTTTTTGTAATTTGCAGAACCTCTTTTTCCACTTAAATTTGCAGCCTACACGCTCTGCTTCTTGCTTAATTAGTCCATAAATCAGAGTAGAAAAAACCCTGGTCTTTAATTTACAGTACGGATCTTGAACTTAATTAGTAAGAGTTGTGTCTTACCCTCCTCTGATGTAGTCTAAGAATGAAGGTTGCTGCTCTAGTTTGCACTGCATAAGGGAAATCTGGTTGAAAAAAAATGCAATAAGAGTATTACCCAGAATAAGGGAATAAAACATCAGCCTAAAATTAATTAGCTATTCAACACATGTAGCAAAATTTTACATGTATTGAGCTCAGTTCTCATTTATTTACAGTTTACTACACTTACCGCGCCAGAGTTCTTGTAACCTTTTTTTTTCGCTTGTTTCTTTGGATTCATGCACTGGCAAAGACATTGGGTAAAGACATTAAAAAACATATCTACATACAAGAATGATTAGTGATGATTAGTTTTAAGAGCATATCCCAGTTTCTGCAATGTGGAACAACAAAAAGATTCCTTTTTCTCCTCGGCAAGATATCAGTCCATTGTGGGGTTACCCCTAAATATAATTCCACTATTACACTGCTATACCCACAGCCAGGTCTCGAACTCAGACTTCTTGACCCAGAGTCCACCACACTTTCCATGAGGCCACCACCTCTCTCACATATTAACAATAATTATTCTAAAGTTTTTTTTTTACTGTTTATTAATGACCATTGCAGTTGAAAAAAAACTGAATTACAGGGATAAAACACAAGCTTCAAAAACCCACATTATCCAAAAATGCTATACACATACACTACTAACTACTTTTAGCATTTACACACTGTATGCCTAGTCAAAGGTAATAGATAGTCAGGAAGTGGCATGGCCAAATGGTTAGGGTGCTGGACTTGTAGTCTGGTGGTTTTGGATTCAAGTCCTCCACCCTGCTACTCACTGGATTTGTTCTCATCCCCCCGAGTTTAACTCCTCAGCTGTGCTGTGCAAAGAGCCAACTGGTCTGCCTCCTGCCAATTGGGATTTTCAAGCACTTTATGTTTATTTCAGTCATTGCAAAGTACTATTGGATAGATATAGACTGAAATAGTGCTATTTAAGTAAAGCATTATTATTATTATTATTTGTAGGGCACATATTCCTGTTGTTACATGCCTAGGTGTTACTGGTTGTCTTTTCCTGAGATTGTTAGTGGTCATGAGTGTGACCTCTGTGACTTGGTAGCAAAAAGTGATTTGGGTGACTAATATTGTGTAACTTTTGTCTGTATTTCAGGCATAACAGATTCCTCATCATCATTACAAGGCTTGTCATTCTCAGTACTATTCCATTAAATCTTGCTCACCTCAAAACTTAATCCTGGAGTTCTATTAAGTTCATTGATAGTTGTGGAAAATATTCCAATCAGATCATGTCTAAAACAAGAGAATCCCTCATCAAGAAGATTTCCAGACACTTATAATAATTTTTTTTTCACCAACTGCACTCAGTAAATTTAGTATATTAAATAATATATGGTGTGTGAAAATTTTTAGAGGGTGTTGCTCACAGGAAAAATCTGCAAAAGCAACCCTATGCAGGCAAGAAATAGTGAGTGTTGATGAACATACTTGTTACCTGTTTGGACAAACAAGTTGCCTGTTAAGAGATGAAAAATATCTACAGGTCTAGAGTTGTTTAAATCTTACCCGCCATCCCTGTCCCAGTCATAACATTCAACTCTTATGGACCTGAGAAGCAAAATACAAAAAAACCAGATGTTAAATAAATTCTTTCACTCCTGGGAGTGACCAAAGGGAAATCTCTCCTTACAATATCAATGCACTTTTAACTAAAAAGGTGAGGAGAAGAAAGGAAAACATATATTTGGGGATATTTGTTGAATTCACACCAAATTTACAGAACCAAAGTTATACAAAATATATTAAGTATGTTATGAGGAATTGATATTTTGTTCTTGGGAGTAAAAGTGTTCGATATTGAAGAAATGTACTTAATGGTTTCCGTGTTTACATAGCCTGATGTAAACTCGGGGGAGGTTGGGAGAACACGAGATAAGCGTAGGAAACCACGACACGAAGCGGAGTGGTTTCCAGCTTATCGAGTGTTCTCCCAACCTTCCAAGTGTTTACATCAGGCTATGAAAACATGGAAACCATTTTACGTTTCTTTTATAAAATAACTAATGAAAGAGGAACAAAAACCGTGTTTACATACGCTCATGTAAAATGGTTTTATGGCCAATCAGAGCGCGTGTACTATTTGAATTATTTTATAAATAACAATGTTTTAAGACCTAACATGCTGAAATAGATCAATTTGTTTTAAGCTACTACATCACTAATTCTATCATTCTTAGAAGCTGCATTACTAAAATTGCATCAATACTAGTCTAATGTTTGTTTGAAGGGGAAAAAGTTGATACTGATCTCCAATGTGACTAATTAATACTATTGAAATATAGGCCCAGAGAAGCAGGTCCATATAATCAATAACTCTGGATAATCAAGGTTTGACTGTATAAATAGTCAGAGAACATTATATTTACCGATCATAATCTCCATTGCAAAGTGCTCTGGCATGGATAGTAAATGGCTTCCAAGTTGGATTCAGCGTATTCTTAATAACCTCTGTCCTATGAACTGCTGTGTAGCTGGAAATAACACAAAAAGTACTAAATATGATACTGATAATAATAATAATTTAGCAGTTCACGATCCATGAGGTGACTCTTTCTGTCCACTGTTTCCAGGTCAAATTGGAATTTGAAATGTTGGTTTTTGTGGAGGAAGAAAAACCAGAGGACCCACAGAAAAACCCTTGGAGCAAGGACAAGAACCAAAAAGAAACTCAATCCACATTTGACACCAGGTCCTGGAATTGAACCCAGGCCACAGTGATGGAAGGTGAGTGCTCTCACCACTGCACCATCCCCCCTTCCCCAAATGGGACATTTCTCAAAATAAAACACTCAAATTCTAATAGCTAAACATCATTTTTTCCTACTTAATACACACCCCTTAATAGCATTTGAAGTTACCATGAGATATCTATTTTGTAACACATGGGAGTGCCAGCTAACATTTTTGTCAACATTTTCAAATGTTCAACAAAAAAAAAGGGTAAATTCTTCCAACAGATACAGATTTTTTTATGTTTGCCATTCCTGAAAGTTTGTCATTACATCAAAACAACCTCTCTCCTGTAACTATTTCTCAATTCTAAATACATGCCTGTTTGACAATGTATTTTAATACATTGTCAATATTAAAATATTTTAAGAAGACTTTAAGTACTGATCATTGTGTGAAAAGGTTTAAACTAACCTGTTGTCCTCATTACATCTGTAAAATACCAAGAAAGGATCCGACTTTCCAAAGAAGTCTTTCTTGTCAAGCTTGTGTCCTTTAAACTGAAGTGTTACCACATCCTATAAATATGCCAGGTAAGAATTAATGATTTTGCAGTGAAGTTTTCATTCATAACTTTTCAGTCCATGACTGTCAATAATTGTAACCATCTCTTAACAGCTTCCGGGGGCTCATTAGACAGGGGAGGTTAATTAGGATGATAGGATCAAGAATAGGAGTGTATTGAAGAAAAATTGTAATAGAAACTTGAGGCTCCAATAGAGCTGGTCAAGGCTTAACAAGAGTTGGGGGCTCATTAGAAAGGGGAAACCTGGCTGAGAAGGGGCTTATCAGAGAGGAGAGCTCTTTAGAGAGGAAGGCTTATTAGAAAGGGGGGCATATAAAGTAGGCACTTATTAGAGAGGGGAGCTCTTTGGAGAGGAGGGCTTATTAGAGAGGGGTACTTTTCAGAAAGGGGGCTTTATTAGAATAGGGACTTATTAGAGAGGGGTCTTATTATAGTGGGGGGCTTATTGGAAAGGGGGTTTATTAGAATAGGGACTTATTACAGAGGGGAGCTCTATGCAGAGGGGTGCTTATTAGAAAGGGGACTTTGTTAGAATAGGGACTTATTACAGAGTGGAGCTCTTTAGAGAGGGGGGCTTATTAGAAAGGGGGGTTTATTAGGTTAGGGGCTTATCAGAGAATGGAGCTCTTTGGAGAGGAGGACTCAGTAGAGAGGGGACTTATCAGAGAAGGGGGGCCTATTAGAGAGGGTATTGAAGGATGCAAACATTTATCTTTTATCCACTCTACAAAATTACTAACCTTGCAGTCACTCAGTTCCTCTGCACTTACTATAAGAGGAAGAAAATAGCAATACATTTTGGATAAAGAGGCATGAAATTTCTTGTTCTAAGTACTACAGCTTTGATTACTAAGTTTTAAATTGATCAAGTATTTCATTTTGTAACCTTAGGCTGATATGTTGTTATTTTGTACATCAATTTTATTTACATACCAATAATTGTTCCAGGTTTTTTCAATTTTGGATTTCTGGAAAAAAAATAAACGTGAACGTACTCAGAATAATAACTAACAATGAAAAACTGAGAAACCTTAAAAGTAAAAGTATTATGTAGAATAGCTCATTTGATATACGTAAGTGAAATCTTTGGTGTAGTGTTTGGTGTTGTTCCATGTCCAAAATATGAGTGAGACATGACAAAAACTCAACAGAAATTTATTTACTGACAATATATCTAAACTCAGATGTGCAACCCAAAGATCCCCCTACTACACACAAATTACATGAATACGAGACTGATAAGCGTGACAGCATGACTTCTTATGTCACACAATACATTTGATAATAATTTAGGCCACATAAGGTCATTGCCATCTATAATTCAACACCTTTTGTTGCTTGTTGACAATCTGCATTTATTTTGGGATAAATTAGCCACATTGATAACCATGCTGAGTAAGAAAATTTACACATATTCAAGATAAGAAATGATCTTTGCAGATGAGTTACAATTTAAGCAACTACAGAAAAGAAACTTGACCTCGAGTCTGAATATTTTACTGCTTGTTTTCTGCAATTTCTTTCCTAGCAGCTTACCTGAAAGTATCATTATTATATCTATACTTGAATATTAGTCACAGATTAAAATATTATTTATTTCATTTCACTGAGATCTTACACTAATTGTTTTTGAAGCCTTCCACCAAATTCTCCCACAATAGATCCAAGTGTACACTCAGCTGCTCCAATGAAATCCTTAAAATATAGAAGTGAATATAATTAGACCATGAGATTCTTCATATCAGGGCTTCACCCTTTAACTCCCAAGATCATATTAGTAATTCTCCTTACTGTCT